ATTATTAATCACTCAACTTAACAAAGCAAGATGATAATTTGATTATAAAGTCCACAGAGCATGCTGGATTACCACTGGACTTTTTATACTTTATTATAGCTTTAAGACATTTTGCATGATTACTTGCGCTTTCTCTTTGTCTGTAATAATCACAGGAACTTTTAGATAACATCAATAAACCCAAGTTCAGAGCCACAGGAAACTACTGCTAAGTCATGTGATGAAGATAATGAGTTTCCGTTTGAGAAGGCTTTGCACAGTGTGTAAACCAAACACAAACCAAACATCCTGTAGATATCAAGAGACACTTCCAATAGATTATTGGGCATAAGTTATTGAAATACTAATCCAAACAGTAATAACCTCATATATCATCTTTTAGGACCGCTTCTCAATTAAGAAGCTTCGTGTTCTCATATGCTGTAAGGTCTTATAGGGTTTTTGTAGTAATAATCAGTAAAGATGATATTTGCTTCTGCAGCCTTCTGAATTTTGTTCTTCTCACACTGTTCTTACTGAATGTAACTTGCTAATTGCTTGGCTCGTCACATAGGAAATAATTTACAGAACTGACCTAACTAGGACAGAAATATTCACAGATAACATTCCATAATAGACGGTGGCAGCTCATCCATAGAGGCAGAGCCCTACCACATACAGTGTATTAGCCATTCAACAAATGTTAATCTTCATAAAGTGCACATTCATTTCTCCATACATTCAATTCCACTGAAATACTAATTACCGCTTTTGAGCAACTAATGATTTAAGTGCTGCTATTTGACAGATATAAGCTGTTTCATTGGTTTGCTCTTGATGTTGCGCTTCATGGAGTTATTATTGCACCTAGTAGTCAAAATAGCACCTAGTAGTCAAAACTGCAACATGTGCTAACAGAGGCCCACTGGGGCAGCAATCACGCTGCCTCATGCTTGGGGGAGGGGCAGAGGACAGGACAGTTAATAACAGGATTCCCAGGATTTTAGAAGTTGGCCAGATTAAACCACATCAAAATACTCCAATACTGTGGTATATAATATATACCACAAATCTGCAAAATGTTAATAATTTTAAAAAACTAAGAGGGATCATAAAAATTGCATTGTTTTTTATTTAGTATTGCCCTGAATAAGCTATTTCACATAACAGATGTTTACATACAGTCCACAAGACAAAATTATAACTGAATTTACACACATGAACCAGTTCAAAAGTTTACATACGCTTGATTCTTAATCCTGTGTGTGTTACCTGGATGATCAACGACTGTTTCTATGTTTTGTGATAAATGTTCATGAGTCCCTTGTTTGTCCTGAGCAGTTAAACTGCTCACTGTTCTTCAGAAAAATCCTCCAGGTCCTGCACATTCTTTGGTTTTCCAGCATCTTCTGCATATTTGACCCCTTTCCATCAGTGGCTATATGATGTTGAGATTCATCTTTTCACAAATTGAGGGACTCGTATGCGTGGGATGTAAACTTTTGAACAGGATGATCGGTGTTAACTGTTATTATTTTGTTAAAAGATCTTATTTTTTCATTTAGTATTGCCCTTCCGAAGCTGCATAAGATATTTACATGTTTCCAAGAAGACAAAATGATAACAATTAACGCCGATCATCCTGTTCAAATGTTTACACCCCCCTGGCTCTTAATGTATCGTGTTGCCTTCTTGAACATCAGTGAATGTTTGCACCTTTTATAATAATTGTGTACGAGTCCCTCAATTGTCCTCAGTGTGAAAGGATGGAGCTCAACATCATATAGCCACTGATGGAAAGGGGTTAAATATGCAGAAGATGCTGGAAAACCAAAGAATGTGCAGGACCTGGAGGATTTTTCGGAAGAACAGTGAGCAGTTTAACTGCTCAGGACAAACAAGGGACTCATGAACAGCTATCACAAAACATAGAAACAGTCGTTGATCATCCAGGTAACACACACAGGATTAAGAATCAAGCGTATGTAAACTTTTGAACTGGTTTAATTGTGTAAATTCAGTTATAATTTTGTCTTGTGGACTGTATGTAAACATCTGTTATGTGAAATAGCTTATTCAGGGCAGAACTAAATAAAAAACAAAATGTATTTTTTATATATATGAATATTTTGCATAGCTCATGATCTGTTTTATAATGTCTCATGATATTAAATTCCTTAATTACCACAGCAGTCTCTTGACATACGAGGCACACACATTTGCTCTGGCTCGCGATGAAAAAGTATTCGTTTCCAGCTCTTTTGAAATCGCCTGTCTCGCTGTTAAATTTGTGCTTTTTGTCTGTAGCCAGGACTAAATATCATTCAGTAAATTAATATGCAGGTGTAGTCAGAGAAAAAAGCTCTTGCAATTTAGCTAATTGTGTTATCACAGTCTGCTGCCAATATCAAGAGAAAGGAAAAAATTGCAATGTGTTGGCCGGTGGGATACCTATCATACGCTCTAAGAGAGAAGCCGTGGGGCAATTACATACAGTAGATTGCAAAGATAGGGGGATGGAAAGGCAGATTATGGAGTGGATAATGTCTGTACATCAGAAATGCACGTGAAATGCACATGGTGACCTTGTTTCCCATGCAAGGGCTAAGAGAAGAAAAATGTGTTTCCTTTTTCCAATGCCCAGATTTTTTAAAGGGCTTTTTTTAAGGTAATTTTTTAAAGGTTTTTATATAGTTTTTGAAATGTACTTGGACTGCAAATTTTGCTGAAACCTGTTACATCTAAAACTGCTCAAAACGAGCTGCTAGACCGCACAATGGACGACTGTACTCTATGTTGTTGACTCTTAACTGCCTATTACAGGCATTACTCAAAAGATTCAACAGATAGTAGCCTATAGCATGAGTCAAGCGTGATAGCCATTTGATTTAATTTTGTTTGAAGCTGTTGTTATTAATGTTGTCCTGCCCACCAATATCTATGCTCACGAGCTGATGCTGGTAGTGGAATTATTTATTAAAAATAAAATAAAATAAAATAAAATAAAATAATTTTAGCACCTTCAAATCTAAGGTCATAATCTAAAAGGAAAAAAAAAAAAAAGCAAAGCAAACAAAGAAAAAACATAAACTGAAATTTTAGAGAATTTGTACTACACCTGAGTATACCTGAAAATGAATGAGTAATCATACATTCTATGAAAAAAAAAATATATATAGTGCTCCTTACCTTTTCATGTGAGCCTTCAAAGTACTTGTTACAAATATAAAAGATAATGAGTTGAATATTTTTTTTTTCTTTTAATCAGCCAGTTCAATCAATTGCCTGTTTTGTGTTTTAACTTTACTCATTAACTACATTTAAAACATGAGTTTCTTATGACTGAGTTTCCACATCTAACACCTCCCTGTCTCCTCCGAGACTCTTCAGTGGGGGTTCTGGATGTTTCACGCAAAGTAGAATCCACCCAAACCCGCTCTTTTTCCACTGCACTTTCACAATCGTTTATTCTGTGGTCTACTGCCTTGCCTGTAGTTATGCCTCTGTAGAAAAAAGGAGTCCATGCATGCTATGTTTTGATCATAACGTCTTGTATGCAAAGTTCAAAGTTGGCAAAGATACTTTGCTATGTTCTAAACTTCTGCCTCCGTTACATGGACTTGGGTTAGCCTTTGGTTCAAACCACATACTGAACAGTAGACCAACAGTTATAGTAGATGGTGTACTGTTTTGACAAACTTCTTAGTAGATCATGGCAAAAGGCTATGTGGTTTGGGACACAGTCTGTGACACATTTCTAAAACATTTCTATTTAAGAAAAGAATCAGTGGACTCCAACAAGAGTGTATTGTTGCTAAAGATACTAAAACAAGAGAAATCATGCAAAAAAAAAAAAAATTCTAGATTTTGAAAATAATTTTGTGGTTCTCAGTTCCTCCAAAAACTACATACGGTGTACTACGAAGTAAATATTAGTCCTAGGTTTATAAGTTAGATTTGGAAGTGTGTGTGTAAGAGCATTTGATACCTGTAAAATCTGTTGAAATGGATTTTGCTTCACTGCACTAGTAATTATTATGTAAATCATGGACTACTAAATTCAAATTAAATCTAAATCCAATTATGGGAAATGTTTTGTCTTTTTTTCAACATTTTAATCAAATTGTTTAGATTTCTCCCAGGTACAACAAAGCACTTGAAGAAATTAGCAGCACTGCATATTTGGGGGGGAAAAAAAGTGTTCAAATCTTTAGCACGTTGGTTAAAAGATGTTTTCTTTTGCTTGAATGGCTTAACGTAGGATTTACCCTTTTACACCTACTGGTGATGTTCACAGGGTGACATGACACCTTAATAAGCTAGTGATGACAACCGACATAAATCTACATAAGCATGTATAAGTGCTTATTCCAACAAGTGTGAAGATGGCACAATCTGTGCTTTTGCCGATTTTATGTTAAAGTGACATGACACCTGGGTTAATTGAGAGATTTTTGTTGACATAAAGCTGTGTTATGACACTTTACAGGCTGACTTATCATTCAAATGTCATGATGACAAATCTCAGTAGATTAGTGCACTTCTAGTGTGTCAGTGTTCCATAACTGTGATAATGTTTCATGTGAGATTAACTGGAAAAATCACTTCCAAAAGATGCTCTGCAGTTTCTCCTGAACTCGAAACTTGGTAAAAACCCCTGGAAACCCTAACGTTGTCTTTACTTAAACAATCAAGTAATCATGACTAAGCATTACTTAAAATGTTGCGTTTTGTATCCATCAATCAAAAATCTAAGTTTGTTTAACTTATTTACCTACAAAATACATAAACTTAAGATGTCAAGTGTTATAAACTCAAAATTATGATTTATTAAAATAGCTCCCTCTGGTCTTTCTTTGCTGTGATTGGCCATGGTAGGAACTAATGCGCTGATTGGTTGATAATTGCAAAAGGCGGTCCACTTCGTCTTGTTGATTCCGTGTGTGATTACAAAGAAATCATGTAGAGGATGTTTTGTAAATAAAGTTACATTTTGCTAAAAAAAAAAAAAAAATCCTAGATTACTGGTAGTCTAGTGGCTAGCATGTAGCGCTCTCACTGCCGTGGCCCGGGTTCGATTCAGTCACTAAACACTATATGAACACCCAGTTAGGTGAACTTAACAACTTAAGTACAGTCTACATGAGCATCAAGTTAAGTGAACTTAAATAAACAAGTTTTGGGAGACCCCATTACCCAATTTAATTGAGGGAACGAGGGAACTTATGTATTTCTCTGACCGAAAATTAGAGTGATGTTGGTTTTGACGTTTTGCATGTCACATCATCACCATCATGTGACTCCGACATACCAGAAAACACCCGAGCTACAAAGTCAGGTGCCATGATGTTCTTATGCATGTTACCTTGAGCAGTGTACAACCTTATGTAAACAAGGATAAGTCACTTTACTCAGATGTTATGTCAATTTAAAAATGAACCTGTTGGTATAAATCTTTATAAATGTCTATCTACGTTTATTTTAGTTCTCATAAGACATGACTGCCTTTGAAGAAATGTGTTACCTTTTTTTCAGTTCTGCCCGTGTAATTACTTCAATGGGTATAAATTTATCCATTTAAATACCCATTACACAAAAACTGGCTCTAGAAAACAGTTATTCACCAAATCAAGCTACGTTCTGTTCTCTGTGTGAGGAATTTGTGGTTAATTATTCTCAAGCACAAAATTGGATAACTTACTGCTTAATTAGCATAACAATCGAATACTTTTAATTTGAGAAAGGAAATGACATTTGCGAGACTGAATAAAGTGAGAAGTCAGCAGTGAAGGTGGCATTTACAGAGATGGCTAAATTGAATTAAAAAAATAATTCACTTCCATTTTAGACCGTAACAACATCTTAACAACATCAGCGAGCGGCCACATGCTGATAGTGCGACTAAACAAGCAAATCTGATCAATGAGCCTCGGTGAAGCAAGAATAACAAATGCCACTGCGAGCACTCAAGCCTGCTGTTTCAAAATAGTCTAATAGAATCAAAAAATAAAGGGTTTTATTTACTGTTTTTGAGGCATCATGGCTCAGTAATGGCTGCTCTGGAGAAAACTGAGAAAAAAAGAAAAAAAAAAAAAAACTCAGCTCATTGATGACTTACTGAAGAAAAAAGAAAAAGATCTTTCTTTATGAAATCCAAATAGTACGACAGACATGAGGACTCGCTCCAATTCAAGGAGGACCTGCTCCCTAAATAGAGCCCAGCCCCTTTAGAGTGCCCCTAGAGAGTGTTCTTGGCAATGGCATTGAGAGTGCGCACTTTGCCCACGTCGGCCACCTTGAGCGAATACTCGGGTGCTGTGAGGGAAGCTCCCATACTCACGCTGGAGTTCCTGTCGAGAAGAAGGAACGAGACATGAGGGGGCGTGGTGAGACATGACATGAACAAGAATTCCTCCATTCAGCATCTTACCTGAATTTCATGGCTGAGTCTTTAGTGGAACGTGCTGAGCAGTGGAACTCCTGGGCACCAGAGCCCTCGAGTATCCTCTGCAGGTTACGCTCAGTGATGCCTCCACCTGCGCCGAAAAAGATTACAGTGTTGGTTTCCTGGCATAAAATTTATGCACTTTTTTTTCATACAGAAGTGTTGTCTTGTGTTTGAGGCACAATATTTTATCACCCTGTATGAACATAAAAATACTATGAAAGTAGTCATACTATTTTTCATAGTTTTGGATGAAAATAGTGACAGCCTTACACTTGTCATGCTATTTGTAGCATGACAAGTTGTATCCACTCACTGGCCACTTTAAAAGGAACACCTGTACCCCTGCTCATATGGTTATCCAATCCGCCAATCAAGTGGCAGCAGTGCAGTGTATAAAATCATACAGATACAGGTCAAGAGGTTCAGTTAATGTTCACATCAGACGTCAGAACGGGGAAGAAACGTGACCTCAGTGACCTTAACTGTGGCATGGTTGTTGATTTCAGATGGGCTGGTTTGAGTATTTAAGAAACTTCTGATCTCCTCGGATTTTCATGCACAACAGTCTATAGACTTTACACAGAATGGTGCGAAAAACACACACAAAAAAAAAATCCAGAAGTCAGAGGAGAATGTCCAGACTGACAGGGAGGCTACGGTAATTCAAATATCCACTCTTTACAACCGCGATGACAAGAAAAGCATCTCGAAATACACAATATGCCGAACCTTGAGATGGATGGGCTACAACAGCAGAAGATCACATCAACTTCCACTCCTATTAGTAAAAAACAGGAATTAATGGCTATTGTGGGCAAAGTTTCACTGAAACTGGATAGTTAAAGATTGGAAAAATGTGGCCTTGTCTTTTTCCCATCTTCAACTGTCCAGGTTCAAATACGACCCACAGCCTCATTTCATTAGGGCCTGTGTGAACTTGGAAAAATAAAACTGAAACTGACCGTAGTAGACTATTGTTCAACATTTTCACACCATGTAGAATTCACAGCAGATTCGTAGCGTAACGACCACCATTGTACCGCACGTGCGGCTTCACATCTCACAGTACCGAAACGCTGTTTAAAATCTGCATTTAAACTGTGTGCTGCACTTGATGTAAGTCACACTCGTGTCTAAAAATGATTCAAAAGCATGTTGTGTGTTGTGCTATCATTGGTGTAACCAGAAATTAATTTCAGTCGGAAGAGGAAATATACAAATTAAAATCAGAATTGTCTTCCTGATCTGTACAACTAAATCAGTAAGTGTGATGTGCTCGGGCATTTCAGGTGGAGGTCAGTAGGAGAGGTGATGGCACGACTCTTATTTAATCATTTAAGGCACAATCTACCATCAACCAATCATTCCACGTTAATAACATTGCCATAAAATACTGCTATAACAGTTCCACTGAAAATAATGAAAATAACATGTTAATAAAAGCAGGGGAAATTACACTTTATATTCTAACTCCTGATCTACTTTCTTTTGCGGTAAACTCCAGCAGGCTACTTCGCTGGCTCTCACCTCCATATCTCTGTTTATAGTGTAGCTGTCTAGCTAGTAGCTTTCAAACAGAAACAGAATTTGAGTTTGACACCCCTGTCCTAGTGAATATGATTACATGGACGGTAATGCAATGATTAAATTGCCTTGAAGTGCTTGTTTATTCATATTCAACAACAGAGGTGCTTTACACTATTAAAGCAAATGTAATAATTCTTACCTGGCATTATAATTATTCTGCCTTTTGCCTGTCAGAAAAAGGAGAGAGGAGACAGCACATATTATTAAATACAGACTCACATGGTTAGTAAGGAATAAAAACACTTGAAAACACTGGTATAGGAAAATAATCAAGGACAGGGTAGTGTGATGCAAAGGATCTAAAAGGAATTACTGTTGCCACCCCTAAGTAAATTATTTTCCAATAATGTTATGGAACATCCATTTTGTCCACGAGACAAGCTAGTGCTTATCGCTTGTGTTATAGCAGCTTTAAATAGTCATTTCTTTAACAGCCTCTTTTTCTTCTCTCTTAAAATAAGACACAGAAAAAGCAGCAGAGAAACTGGAAAGCTTCAAGTCCTCTGTCCTGAAGACCTTCTCATGGTGGGAAGCTTGACTGTTACAAAGCACTGACACTTGAGACTCCTTCCATGAATGTTTAATAAATGTCTCTTTACAGAAAACCTCACCATATTAATGATTATAAGTTTTTCATTGGTAAATAATGTTTTTATCAGTTTAATACTAGCTTCAGATTGCATGGGAGTCCCTTTGAACGAGCTGTTACTACAGGAGAAAAGAAAGTATGAGAATGAGCATATTAATACATGTGAATTGAACTACAGCTGGCAGTACAGATAATTTCTAAACATTTCTAAACCATTTGAGCAATCTGAGTTTGCAATCTCAGATGCTCAGCCCTAGAGCGTAAATAAGATACATTCCACACACTACATAGTCTCAGTATATATTCAGTAACACATTAATAAAATATTAATAACTTATTCCAGTGTTAAGTCAGTGATTACCTTTAGTGAATACATTAGTCAACTTTTTGTTAAGCCTTAGTTGGTGCTAAGTAATACATTAAACATTCTGTTAACTGATAATTTGGTTTATTATTATTTACATACTCACTAACTAGCTCCTGGTTAATAGATGTCAGTAAACTGATAATAGGTTTGTTCTAGGGGTGTAACAATACCACTACCTGTATCTATTTAGTGGTCAAAGTACAGTGGATATAAAAAGTCTACACACCCCTGTTAAAATGGCAGGTTTTTGTGAAGTAAAAAAAAAAATGAAACTAAGATAAATTATGTCAGAATCATGTTTTTCCACCCTCAGTGTGAAATTACAAAATGAAGTGAAAAACAATCAGAAACTTTTTAGGGAAAAAATAGGAAAAATAAAAAAAATTACAAATGCAACCTTGCTGCATAAGTGAGCACACCCTTTTATAATTGGGGATGTGGCTGTGTTCAGAATGAACCAATCACATTCACTGTCATGTTCGAAAGTAATTATCATACAGCTGTCATCAATGAAATTATTCTGATTAACCCCAAATAAAGACCAGCTGTTTCTGTAGGATTTTCTCTTCTTGGTTTCATCTAACTGCTAAAGCCTTGGTCTGCAAAGAGCTTACAAAGCCTGAATGGTATCTCACTTGGTGAAAGATATCAATCAGGAGAGGGGTATAAAAGAATTTACAAAAAACATTAGATATACCAAGGAACACCATGAACTCCATCATCAACAAGTGGAGAAAATGGGGCACCACAGTGACATCACCAAGAACAGGAGACTGCAGGAATATCTGACAAGTACTGATTACTCTCTTCATGTGACAACAATCTCTTGTATTCTTCACATGTCTAGGCTATGGGGTAGGGTGTCTAGACAGAAGCACTTTCTCACAAAAAACATCCAAGCCCAACTAAATCACCCCAAGCCATGTGGCAAGATGTGTTATGGTCTGATGAGACCAAGTCCAAAAGGTATAATAATTCCATAATTCCAAAAGGTATGTTTGATGAAAAAAAAAAAAAAAAAAAAGCACATCACCAAAAAAATCACCATACCCACGGTGAAGCATGGTGGTGGCAGCATCATGCTTTATGGCTGCTTTTCT